GCCCCACAGTTATTTTGCCTGGGGGTCCGTATATTCAATGCACCGAAGATACTGATCGCTGAATGAGCAGCTAGTCACTCTTCTGTTTTCTCTTTGTTGGCATAGTGTCTGGACCTCACATTGAATATATTTACTGCACATCAGCCAAGCCCTGTGCAGAATAGAGAATTATTCATTTACTCCCGGGCATTTCTTTGGTGTCCATCACTGCAGCAGCCTACTGATTTGCAAACAATTTTTTTTTTTTTAATCATCATTGGAGGCGAGGGAAGGTGGAGTTAGACTAAGCCCCGTTTTACAACAGAGGCCCAGAAGCCAAAAGCTTCAGTTTGAGTGCTAAACTTGTGACAAAGAATAACTGCTTCCCCCATTCCTTGCTCTAGGTTATTCAGCATTCCCCATCACTGTATATGGTAGAGTGCATTTCCAGTTCCATCAGTTAAACTCAATTCTTGGTGTCCCAAACAGAGCATGTAGAAACTGGGAGACTTGCAAAAAGTGGCAACCTGTGAAGAGCTGAAGTGCTGCACAGGACCTCTGTGATAAAGGCAAGGACTAACCCATTTCTTCCTGGCAGTGTTCAACTTGCCCTAACCATGAGTCTGGGCTTTCTCTTCCTACAACGCTCCTTGTGGTTGCTGATAAAGCCTTCCCCAGAGCTGACTGCCAGGGTCTGCAAAGGCAACAGCCCCCTCAGTACCTAACTGAGCTGCAGCCCTGTGCCCAACCCAACACTGTACCACTGCTGACAGCAAGGTCCGCAGCCTGGCGCTCCCCTAACCCTGCTCTGAGCACTCTCCTCTGCTGGTAAACAGACAGCGAACCCAGCGGTTTACAAAGCTTGCCCCGAAGGTAGTCACCCAGCCTGTCTCTTGATCTGAAACATGTAACATTAGTAAGCCCACAACTGGAGCTTGCTGATGGAGAGCAGAGAATGATGCTTACACGTAATCTATAACAATCTTTGACTCGCAGAAGGCTGTATGTTCCCACTTCCTTCAAAGTTCACTCCAGGGCTCTCGCCATACCTTCTCAGACAAGATGTAGTTAAATACAACAGCCCTCCCCAGCATTGTGTTTTAGTAGTCAGATTTAAAAGTTGAGTTACTCAAGAAGCGGAAGGCAAACCCTGGGGTTTTTTGCTGTGTTTTGGGCAGGAGAGGAGGTCGCTATTCCCTCAGCACTCGGTTCTTTTGATTATTGCATGAGCACATACACAAGCTTCTTAGCCTATAGTTTCCTACTTCAGGAACTAATGCTTTAGGGGGATTAGAAAGAAAGGGGCGGGCGGGGGGAGAGAACTCCTATGTTATCACCACTTATTAGAAGAATCAGCTAGTGTACCCAGCAGGCCACTCAGGGAGCTATTCCCTCTCAAATTTGTGTTTTGATCTCATGGCAGGCTGCAGAGACACTATGTTCATCTAGCTCCTGACTGACTAGCTCTACTGTAGTCCCAAGATTTTTGCAAGGGCAGAAGGGTGAGGTCTTCTCTAGTTTATTTTTTGCCTTCTGAAATCAGAGTACGATGTAGGTTTTGCTCTCTCTCAGGCTGTTTTTTCAGACACAAGGGAGCTGCGCAGTTTGTGCTACACGTTTGTCCAAAGCTGAGATGCCACATGCAAATCTCTACCATGAGTCAGCAGCAAGGGGAAGCAATATTCTGATGTAAGAACACCCCCTTCCAGCACAAGAGCTTGGCAAACCATGTTCCAAGTATGTCCACAGCACCCAAATGCATTTGATCCACATAGCAAATATGTTAACACAGTAGTGGTGATGGAAAATATCAAGACCACAGGGGGAGGAGGGTGTGTGGGTAGTGGCGAGGGTCCTTAACTTACAGTATCTGTGATGATTCCATTTTTTTTATTGCATCTTTGTAGAAAGGGAGTGGTGGGGGCACAGCTGCCATCAGCACACGAGGCCCTGCAGCTATGAAATGCCTGCCTGAACATGCAGAGCACTGCAAGCTGCCACCATTCATCCTCTGGGAAAAGGGGACAGCGCTGCAGATGGCGAGAAGCACCTCCACAGCTGAGGGTGCTCCTAAAGGCACCTCACATGGATTCACATACACCCAGCCCCCCGAAAGTGTCAGACCTGCCCCCACCCCCAGACAGAGTATCGGATCCCACACACGGCCAGTCCCAGTCGCTGAGGGGAGGTCTGGCGAGCACATAGCCCACAGACTGCATTGACTTGCCTGTGACTGAACAGGTACCAGCAAATTCATCAGCAAGAGACTGATACTCCCATAGCTGCAGCTGGATGCATCTGCAGGGGTGCTTGCCTTGCCCTCGGAGCCATACGTGTATCTCGGTAGGTGGGAAGATGGCTGCTGAAGGCCTTAAGACACCAAGCGCAGTACACACAATACAGCCTCTGTTCAAAGTAAGCAGCAACAGAATCGAAACCACTTCATTTCAAGGGTGCATTCAGGCCCTGAGCTGCAATTGGCATTGAGACAATTCTCCAAAGCAGCAAAGTGCTCCTGTTGAGGGAGCAAGTCCTGCCCCGCTCCCTCAGACACAGCAGGGTGCAATAGTTTCAAGGACTAGGGCCACTGCATTTGTCCACCTACAGTCTGAATTTTCAGTTATATCTCAGAAAATGAAGCAGGATAGGTTGGGGTTTTTTTCAGATTTATAAGAGATTGCTTAAGAGCTAACGCCTCTGTTTTGTTACTCCATTGCAACAGGAAAACAGATCTGAACCATCAACTGCGTACTCTGCAGCTGCAGTGGAAATAATTTCAGATACTCCTGACTACAGTTAACCTGTTGTGAGAGGCAGGTAGCTCACAAGGTTACCAGAGTGCTATCAGTTTTGCTTGTGCATGAGGTAGGCAATCCAGCAAGAAGATGCAGCTCAGCTTGGAGATGATTAAACAGAGAAGAAATATTACTGGACTTGAGGGATCCAATTTAACTGCAGTTACATAGAAACCAACTGTAAAAAGGCTTTATTTTTTCCTCATTACCCAGAATGCAAAAATGAACTCAAGAGACTCTTCCCATACCTCGCAGACTGATTATTCTTAAGTTAAGACAGAAGTATATAAACAGACTTGAAACACCAGAACAGTTTGCCAGAGGAATATAATTATTCCCAAAACCAAAACTAGAGTAAGAGGTTATCCCTGTTTGAGTTGTGTAAGCAGTTACTGCATCTTCAGAGGGCACCCAATGTATGCTTTGTATTCTTGTACTCTTACGTTCACGAGCATGATACTGTTAAAGATGGACTTTTAAGTAAAGTCTTAAAAAAAAGATTAAAAAAAAAGGTCTACAGCTCTTTAAGATTCGAGCTTTTAAAGAAACCACAAAACATTCAGCTTTTGAACACTCTTCTGTCATACACAGAGAATGCCATGAATGACACGCACATTAGCAGATGTCATGTGCAAATCTCTACTGTAACACAAGGAGGACAGACCTCAAGCACTTTGGCATCAAAAAGAAGTCTACATTTTAAGCCTGCTGCTGACAGCCATAACACTGTTAATTACAACTTACAGCTTATAGTTGTGGGAGTGTTGCAGAAAATACCAGAGCCAAAAAAAAAAAAAAATTTTGCACCTGTTTAAATGCATGAAAAATTTATTTGAAACTTTCAGCTGAAGTATTTGGCTCAACAGTTACACCTGAAGTACCAGCTAAAGCACCATTCTAACTCCAGGTGCACATTGCAAGACCAGAAAATTGGCAAATTAAATTATTTAATAAGCCAAGCAGGCAAGAGGCTTTGACATAACAGTCAAAACTGTGGTAAAAGTTAAGCTTGGGGAAGCTTTAAAAGACTTTGTGCTTAACCTTTAAATAGAATGAAAGGCTGTCCATCACCTTACAGCATTTGCTGTAGGCCATCTCAATGCAAAAGGAACAGTATTCTGATTTCCACTATCTAACACATGCAGTGCCTGCATTACAAGAAAATTATGTGTCTCTGTACTGAGGAAAGCAATATGCAGGTCCCATTGTAGATTTGGGGGTTTCTCTTTTACTCAAACGTTACAGGCTCCCTAAAGAATTACTACTATACAACCACTTACTATCAGCTGATCATTTCATCACACCAACATTACTGACACCGTGGCCATCTTCAGATCTTAGGTCCTTTATCAAAACAAACCCCAAACATAGGACTAACAGCACTGAAGAGAACGGAAGGAAAACGATCCAAATTTTGCTTCCTCTTATCACACTAAATTAATTTGCAAGATGATTTAGCCTACTGTTATCTCAAGGAGATTACAGTAAGGTACTGCAGCTACATCTAAGCTCTTCATATATGTTTTCTAGTGCAGATGTAATAACTGGAGTCAGTTTAAAAATTGAGTACTTAATTTTCAAACAATTTGGACAGGTTTACTTCCAAATAAAAAGCTTAAAAATGCTTTTAAAAAGTAGTATTTTTCACCAGAAGCTACCAATAATGTATATTAAAAGTTGGATGCGCTGCAAACATTCTTCCTATCCCCCTTAACAGAAAGCTGTTCATCTAAACTTTAATTCACAATATCATTACTTGGGAGTTTTACTAAATGCAGTAATGTTTCCTGTATATTTCAGCATAGAGCAGAACTTGGTTTCTGAGGTCACCTTAAAGATAAAATCCAAGCTGCTAGCTTTTTAAGCAGTATTTGTGTCTTAACAATGCCTTTCTGCACACCCATTTTACTCTGAAGGAGTATTTCCATCTTACAGAAGAGTAGTATGTTTTATTCCTGGGCACATCTGTTTCTTACTCTTAAAGTACACACTTAATCTGCACTAAAAGTGTTATCAACCAAATTTATGAAACAATTAGGCACACTAAGTATCTATGTAAATCTGTACTGAGCCCTTTGACAGAAAAGGGTAGGAAAAGAATACATGGTGAAAAACAGTGAAGGATCTGAGTGGCAAAGTAACTCTGATAATCTCAAATGTCATAGTCTTACATAAAATAAGAACTGACGTTTTCTCATTTGTAAATGATATTAAAAGAAGGCAAGATGAATTTTAAACAAGTTTTATTATACAAAAGACTATACAAATCCAGAAGAGCTCTTCTGCAGTTCTAAGAGTTTTGTTCTGTGACTTATACTTCCATATGCCTTTCCAAAAAGCCAAGATAAAAAGGCTCATTAGTCCCACCTCCTTCTTACCAAGAGTGTTTGAAAAAAAGAAGTAGCTGCATCAAAATCTTTTATTTATTCTTTGTATTCCAAGAATTGCTGAAGTCTTTTCTTATGTTCTGTAGACACTTGCACTGCACTAAAAACAAACGTAGAACATAAGATTTTATGTTAAATGTAATACACCACAAAAATAAAGCCTCATGCCAAAATTAAGTATACATTGAAATCAACAATTACACTGAAGCTCAACTGTAGAAAACACAGCTGTATGAAAACCTACATTCTAAGCCAAAAAAAAGTATATTAACCCTTAAAACTGTCAATTCTTAACCTCAACAAATTTCCACTACTAAAAGACACTTTTCCCAAGAAAGCTGGCCTATTTCCTTAAACACACACAAGCAATTGTTTAACTTGCAAGAATGATTTAGGTAAGAAAGAATCTCTTAAAATGATCTCTCCTGTATATCGAGCACTTCGAAACTGAGCGACATTTCATCCCCACAGGGAGAGATGGGCAGATACTGCAGGAAGTTTCAGTCCCACACATTCAGAGGCCAAGTATGAAAGTCTGCCTGCTGTGACAGTAGCTGAGAAAGAGCCATCAGACAACCAAGCTGCAAGGGAATTTGATTATTTGGACTCTTTATAGGATTCTCAGGATTCTCTCCCTACAGAACAGACAATTGTCTCTAGTTGATTTACTTTCTTTTCAACAGCTAAGATTTATTAAACGAGTAGTATTCAAGGACTGCTTCTAAAGAGTTCATGAAAAGTCACTAAGAAAAATTGCCCAGAAATCTATGAATAGTAAGTTTCTAAGGGGAACCAAATATCTACACAAGAATTTTTTTAAAGTTCCACAAATCAAAAAATACTAAAATACCATGTTAGAATAATGACCTGAAGGGATTTTTGCCCAAACTTCCCTTTTCACAGTTCTTACAATAACATTAATTAAAACTAAATTTAGCAAGCAAGCAATCACGAAGAAGTTCTTACTTTAAGTGTTCTCCAAAGACAGTAGTTATCCGGTACAGTGCTGTTTTCAGAGATGCTCTAAGTGCAAATCGTAGCGTTTTGTAGGATGTGTCCACCAGGCTTCCTGAAATCCTGGGGGGCTTGCTAGAAACATGAGGCAGTTTGAAATGTCTGTCTACAACCTGATTGAGAAAAACATAAATTAACCTGTTTCATCTGTTCAATTATTTCATAATGTAAACTAGCAACATGTTCATGTCAAATAAAGCAAAAAGAAAGTGTAAGTTCAGAAATTCCACTAAGACACAAAAGTGTACTGGAGACTGAGCTTGACCATGCATTTCCTGGCCATCAACGTGAACACAGAACCAAGTTCTGTGAAATAAGATGCTCTGTTAATGAGTCTTAAATGCAAAGCACAGCACACCCTGCAGTAGAAATACAATTCTGTCCTGTATTATGACTTGTTTCTTTCAGAAACAAGGGTATTCGTTTTTGTTTTGTTTTTTTACACCCCCCCACCCACCGCATGCCTGTTCTTGGAATAGATGACTTACACTGAAGAACTTTAAGGACCTCTAAATTCTTTCCAAGAATCTCCATTAAGGCAGTGTAAAATGATTATGTCAAAAGGACACACATAACCTTGGGAACAAATTTAATTTTTTAAAAATACACATTACACATACATCAGTATTTTGAGAGTAATATCTTAGTATTAGTAGGGAAACACCACACAGATCTTATCTCCTGTGGTTCGCAATGTCTCCAAGTGCTCCAGGTTGCACAAGAAATTGTGTACAGCGAAATAAAGATTAAGTCCTAACTATGCATAAAATACAGTATGATAATTGCTGCATCCCTGAAATAAGGTCTTTAACTGAGCACATAATACCATTTTTTTTAATTAAACATTCTATTAAAAACATGCTTTCTACTTCTAGGTTTTAAAAAACTTAGATTTTTATTTAGCTGTTTCATAATGCACATAGTGGCAACCAGCTGTTTTGTTTAGATTAACTGCAGAAGAGTTGTTACAGTGGTAACAACTTGAGTGTTATGACTGGTCAGCAAGGTCAAAATATAAAATTGACAAAACTTCTTCCCTACTCCTAAACTTGTTCTGCAGGAAAAGTTAATGTTTTTTACCTCCTGAAGAGTCAGCAGAGTATTGAGGATAGCTGGCAGTGTAGTTTGGACAACTCCAAATTGGTCTTCAGTAAAGGAGGCTGCTACCAAATGAGACAGACCTTTAAAAAAAAAAAAAGTTGTTTACTATAATTACTGAATTCTCAACTTCAGAAGCATTAAGAAAGATGAATTAACAAAGATGATGGTTTTCCCTGAAGATTCTACTAGCGTGGTAGAATTCTTCAGGACTTCCTGCAGCCACATGACAGTTACCTCAGCTTTGGCTTGCTTCAAGACTAAATCAGTCACTGGTTTGACAGATGTACAATAGTTTAAGGTTAAGAAGGCAAGAGAGATTATATATATTTTAAATATTTTAAATTTTAAAAATGCATTGGCTCCCTCTTTCCACTGCTCTGATCAGAGCTGTACCCGACATCAGCCAAGAGACAGGACCTATTTCATAATTCTTCTAGCCATAAACAAGTATTTCCAGATCACTTAACTTCCTTTTTTCAGCTTGTACGAGAAGAACTCTCTACTACTTTGAGGGAAACCTTGATTTAGCTTTAAATCCCTTCCCAGTTTATTTGTCATATTTTTAAAATTATAGCCTAGCCCTCTGCCCTTAGTTAAAGCACAAATGGTATCTTCTGATTTTCTGCAAACTGTATGTGTGATCCCCATCTCCTGACTCTATACGTCCCAACCCACCACCTTCAGTCTGACACAGCATGGCATATCTGCCCGTAAGACATATAACCTAGGAAAAAGATCAACTGTTGCACAGTCAAACCTAATAAAACATTCTATCAATACCAGTATTTGCTCATGACTGAAATAAACAAGAACATCTCGTAGTCCAACCACATATTGTCATTGTTGTTCTAATTCTCTGCAGACCATCTTTTTCCATTTATTTGTGAAGTTACTACCTGAGTGCTTCCCCCCCTCAACTCTCCGTGATTAACAAAGACTCAGAGCCTGTAGTCAGAAAAGCTGTTCTAAAAGAGACATCATAAATCTGCTACTAGGGGAAAAAAAAAAAGTAAGAGTGATATATGGGTTCACATGGGAGAGAAGCAACAGAAATCAAGTTTAGGAATCTCTACCAAACCTCTACAGAACATAAACTAAGAGATATCACATGGGATCTCAAAACTAACAAGTGAATAGACCTTTATTCATGTTGGTATCTAAAATGCAGTCGGGTTTTTGTCAAAATAGATTCAAAGATTTTTCTCCCGTTACATTTATAAAGCACAGAGGCCCAGAAACCTGGAATTGTAGTTCCTCGAGCCAACAGAGTGCATCACCTGGGAAGAGAAACCACTTACCTTCCAAAGCCCAGATGTGCATTTGGGCATCGCAGAAGACAGCCTGGATGGAGGCTTCTGGGTGCTGAGAAGAAATCAAAGTATTCTGAGTGCACTTTATAAATAATATCACCAAAATTGCAGATTTCAATTAAGGTATTGCATGTTTGATAGGGTCATGTCCCTCCCCTCAGAAAAGACCTGCAAGGCTGACAGATCTCAGGGAATACCCAGAAAAATCTTATCTTTTAAGAAACTAAAACTCTTTTTGGACAGGAGTTGCCCACAAAGCTATAGCTACAATTAGGACTTCCAAAGAGAAAAAAAAATAAATATAATATTAACTAGCTATTTTTCAAGAGCTAAATGGGCAATACAATTCCCCCATGCCTATTTCATGATCTTGCTTGCCTCCATCTCTGCTCCAGTCTATAACTGATCAGAACTGTACATGTAAGCATAAACTATTATCGCATACACAGAAAAGTTGTGCATATAAAAATATGATCTCTACGTGCAGGAAACATTCAAATCCTTGAAAAACAAAGACCTAAATTAGAGGGGGACGCTTCTGTAAAACATAACTGGTTTATTGTTTAATTATGCTAAGAGAAATACCCCATTGCTTTTCTGTGTAAACACTATGCAAGTTTAGTTTCGGTGTTCAAGTTCACCTGAAAATTAGTAGTAATATTAGCACCAGTATTTCATAAGGAGAAATTCCCAACATTCTAGCTACCACTTCTCCCACAAAGGAAGACTACAAAGAATTTATTTGGTACATTGACCTAACAAAGAGCAGTTAACTGAATTTTAAAATTAACTAGAATCCATGTCATCCTACAATTAGTATACTTAGACAATTGCATTTAAGTTCTCAGTTGTGTTTTCCTAGTACATGATGCTTTAAGCAAAATGTAGTTTATAATCAGATGAGTTTAAACAAGTATTATTGTTCTTTTTTATGCAGGTATGGGATAATCTTGCGATGAAACTCACAGTAAGTACAAAGTTGTACTTACAGAAAACTTTAGATTAAAAGAAACGTTTTAGAACTGTTACTATACGCAAAAGGTACATAGTGCCACAGCAGAACTCATACGCTTATGCATTTCTAGTCCATGCTGCTCAGTCACAAAACATAAGATCATGATTACCTTGCTGAAGAAATACATTATCAGCACTCGTTTTGACAAGAAGTTTTTTATCTGAAAAGAAACAAAAGATTTAAAATATCATCTGTATTTATCTAAGGTACACACAGTTGGCTCTCTTCAACCCGACCATCTTCTCACAGTATAAAAGGATTGGGGGGTGGGGGAAAGTATTTTTGTTATGTAAGCTAATCGGAGAAGGAAGTACTCGCTCCAAAAAATGGAAAATTCTTGCAGAAGAGAGAACAGTCAGTGCAGCTTACGTGTAACCTATCTGTACTGCAACTTTTACTTTACCTGTTCCTGCTTGTTTTGAAGCCATGTGTAAATAAATCTTGGCTGTACTGCCTCACTGCCAACTCTTGCAGCAGAGAGCACTGGGAAGGATTCGTGGTGGGAACCATTCATTTGCAGATCTACAAGAGAAATATGATATCTTCAGAAAAACTGGCTGCTGTCGCTTTAGTCCTCAAGATACAGATCTCTACTGACATGCCTACTACACTTATGACTACAAGGCTAAAAACAGTGCTGTGGAAAAATCTCACCTGAACTTGACGTCCACAGCTTTGGTCCCCTTCTTGTAACACGAGGACTTTGGACTGATCCATGCCAAGGAGAGCTTACATCCGGAATTCCCATTTTGCAATTTAAAGCAGGTGAGCTAAAGGGCGAACCAACATCAGACCCCGGTGAAGTCTTTAAAGGCATTAGGGTTGATTTAACCAGTGAAGACATCGAGGCTCTGAGGACAATATTAGACCTCTGCGACGGGAGAGACATGTCTTCTGTCACAACGGCTCCTAAAGACAAAGAACACACTGCATGAAGACAAACAGGCTGGCGCATACGAAATAAGAGGTGGGTTTGTTATTTGATTGCTATTTCAACAACTTCTGTGTCATAGGAGCTTTTATTAAAGGACATTGTTTCCACTGTGGTGTTGCAAAGAAGTACACATCAACATAAGTATGGAGTGTTTTAAAAGTTCATCAGTTTGAGAACAAGTGATGAGAAAGATACTTGTGGGTTTATTTATTTTTCTCCTTTTGCTAGCCATCATTACTAACCCCTGGTATATATCTCTAAAGTATGCTTTTAGGGTTAAGTACTAGAAAAAAAGGCTACCTATAGAGGAATGGCAATTCTTTCTGATTCTGCTCGGTATGTAAGAAGAGACATCTCAGTCTCAAAATCCAAGGAACAGCAGCACTAGAAGAAATTCACCTCTGACATACTAACAGTCCCCTGCTGTTCCCAGGGCACTTGTATCCTAGGCACTGACTGCTAAGGGATTCAATTACCTGGCACCCCTTGTGCTAACAAAGCTCTGCTGCCAGGAACGATGCCTAAGTCTGGCACATAAAAGACCCGAAATGCTTGCAGGCTGCACACAGCTCAAGAGTCAGACTGGCTTTTCTTATTCTACAGTGATACTAGTGAATCACACAAACGTGTTCAAAGTCCCCACAACAACAAAACAAAAACTAATTTCATCATCTTAAACTAATCACTAAGAACAGCTATGTAAGTTACAAAGCATCTCTTGGCAAGACTTAAGTTCTCCCTGTACTAGGTTGAACCACTTACTAAAACTGTAATATTTAAGACTTTTTAAATTCATGCAAGTGTGCAAAAAATACTGTATTGAACATAACATCATGCTAAGTAAACAAACTGAATAAACGTGATCTTTCCAAGTTTTCTAGTTATTTTGGGATTATTTCAACAAGAATACCTAAAGTGAAACTGGGGGAGAGCCTTTTTTTGTTTGCATTTATTTGCAGAAAACCCCGTGACTCATTTTTCCCATAGAACTTAATTGAGACTAATGTACCTAGGTCATCTATTGATACTTTCATGCTTTACAAACTATTATAAGCATATCCTCACATACCTGGAGTCTGTGGAGATACTTTCAGCTCTCCTGCCGGCTGCTTTGCTCTCCCATTTGCTGCTGCAGCTTCCTGCTGTGCAATCAGCCTCTGGGTCAGATCACTCAGAAGACTCAAACACTCCCTTGATATTGCAGTCCAGTTGTGCGGGTGCCCACCTAGCAGCGTGCAAACAAAAAGGAACTGCAGTAGGTATGTTTAACCCAGATGCTCATCCTTGTATCTACTCTGACAGTGCCCATGTGCTATCAGCATAAGCTTCAAAGTTATAGTACCACTCCGTTTCTAAGAAGACACTGCATTTTCACTGTGACAGTTTATTTGTACTGAGAGGAAGATGAAAACACGGACAGATTCCATCCTCCTGTCAACAGACAACTCTAAAAGATTTTAGTGAAACCTGCTAAGCAAGCAGGAAGCACAGGCAGTTCAGCCCATCAGATCTGAAATCACTAAACAACTAAAATGAGCAAAGTAATACCAATGGTGGTGGTAAACAGTTCTGAAGTAGTACAAAGACTAGAATTCCTGATAAGGTGTAACAAAAAGTTCCTGAAGGCTTTAAGCAGTTTTAATTGACCTTCTCTGCCATATCTTTGTATCTAGCAAGAAGCTTGTGTACTAATTGAAATTACAGCCATTGTTTGCTTTTGCAGCTCTAGTGGTGACTCACTATTTGCGCTTGATTTCACCTCACTCGCATCTCAACATGAGGCTTTCATACACATCTCTTAGATTAGTCAGTTTGGACTATTTGACTGGTGGTGTCAAGAGGACCCTGCTTTCAATATCTTAAGACCTGTGTTTCCTTATGGATGTCATTTAAATCAAACAACAGGCACCAGAATTTGTTGATTTTACTAGATGAAACAACATGAATATAGATAATTAAGCATCCTTTTGGAAAAGACACCATAGGGATGAGGCGTCCCAGCTTATGTAGCATGCCTCACAGCACTAAATAACTTCTAAAAGCATTTGACTAACACTTTTAAAAAAAACAAAAAGAATCAACATGACATAGTGTTTATAATTACCTGGCTGACTAAGGCTAAAGACTTCCTGTCGTCGAACAGGAGAATACTGGGAAAGTAACATCAAGTCCTGTAAGGCTAAAAACTACAAAGAAAGGAAAATGTTTTAGCGCCTGCAAAGTCCAATGATTTCCTTAAAAAATGTACTTATCCATACAAAAGCAATTCCTAACAAAGAATGAGTTCACACAGACTAAAACCAGCCACGTAACAAAAAAGAAAGGAGGCAAGTGACTGCACACATCCCTAGAACCACTCTGGATGGGGCTGCTGAGTTAGTAAGAGCTTCAGAGAACTTTACTGATATGTAATGTCTTTGGAGTTAAAGAATATCTAACATTATTTTTTTATCTTAACAGCTAACAGCCCACATTGTCTAAGACACAAAAAAAGTTTATGGAAAGAACTGTTTTTGCAAGCCAGAGCTCAACTACAGTGTGCCATGCAGTGCCGGACCTAATAATGCTTTTCCATGTGATTCAGCAATTAGTGTGGCAAACCAAAAATAACCAGATTTCCCTCACTGTGTGAGACACAATTATAAATTAGCACTGTAGTAGCGGCTGAGACTATGAATTAGACTTCCTCTACTTGAACTGTGCTGTGCTCGACTCTTCCCCATCAATCTTTTGATAATGCAGCAAAGCTTAACAAAGGATTCAAATGGATTGCAGCCTATTCTATCTCCAGTCTTATCACAGATCTCTAAAAATCAGTAAATGTGGATTTTGCACGTGTAGAATATTCTTATTTTTATTTACATAATACTTCTTAAATAAGGTCTCCAGTTTCTAAGTATTACAGTCAGTAAATCTCATTAATGATTACCATAGATCAAAATTACTCTTCTTTACTCACAGATTTTAAGTAGCTTTTTAGTATTGTCTTTTTAAAAAAAGAAACCTAATTTCAAACATAAACATGGAAATGTTTTTTTAACTTCAAGAGAGAACACACACATAAGAACTCAAATATAAGTAGCAGGGGCAAAGTATTAAGAGTGTACAAAGGTTTGACAAAACACCTGCTTATCTGACAAGACTCAAAGCTGAAAGAATTTTAAAAAACCCCAAATGTCACTAACCTGTTGTTTTTGCATCAGTACACACTAATACACTTAAGGTGCAGACAAATAGATCTTACCTCTAACTAAATGAGTCTGTCTTCAGCTTAAAGTAACACTGTGGTGAACACCAGCAGATGTCACTACTAAACAAATATTCACCATTAAGTGTAACTGCCTCCTTGAGTGTTCCGACACAGCTTTTTAAAGAACTAGCACCCCGGTTCAAGTAACTGGTACCGAGAAGATCCGATCGCATGCTTTGAGAAACACCTTCTCAGCACACGCCTAGCTGAGAAGATGGTGGGAAATTAATTACCTTTATAATGAGGGGAGGGTTGCTGTTTAAGATTTTAGGCAGGCACTGGTCTGTCTCCTCAGCAAAAGTTGGCTGGACAGGAAAATGATGCGTCTAAATATAAACATCAGAAGTTGTGTTATACAGAGTAAGACACGAGAAAACCTTATGAAAGACCACACCCAAGCTCTTACTTGTCAGATGAATGATGAACTACAAAAAGCAACTTACTGCCTCAACTTACTGTAAACCAGCCTGAAATTTCTAACACAGAAACAAAAAGGCTTTACTCCTTATGTTTAAAATTGAGAAATCTTAGAAAAATCGAGATATCTTTATCTTCAAATACCTTTCACGTACCCATGTAATTCGTAGCTAGGGGCATCATATTGTTATGAAAAGAAATTCCTCAAACCACATACCTAGGAAAAACTAGTGACGACATATTCAGAAACAAGACTGAAATCTGCACTCCAATATCTATTTTTAACAGCGTAACCACTCTGGTGAAGAACTGAGGGTTCTTTTACCAAATAATAAAGCTTTTTTTTAATTCTTCTTTTGCAGTGTTTCATTGATAAACTAATGAATTCTTATTTTTATCATCATGATATTAATATTCTGTGTTTTAACAGAATTTCTGTTCTTGTGGCTACAGCATTTCAAACGTAAATAGTAGTGCTTAAATTGTACCAAACACTGCGTATTTTTAGCGCTATTTAAAATGGACCAGTTTGGGCACATATTACCTGTCAGTTTTGTGTTACTGCACTCCTTTTACATATCATAGCTTTATTCTCCTGTTTCCAACTGCAAAACTGAAATCTGAGGTATCAATTGCATTCAAAGTGTTAACAAAGTGACTTAATGAGAACTAAGTTTACAATTCCTTTCCTGACTTTTCAGTTAACACTATGCAAGTATTTACAAACAGCTCTGAAGTTTTTTACCTCATAAAACAAAAAAAAATAACGTGGATAAACAAATCTTTTGTTCAACAGTCAAAAGGGCAAGGTCCATTTTATATCTTCACAGCTAGAAGTTTCTTTTGTCTTCCACAGTTTTATAAGCAATACAATAATTACAGACATTGACAGTGTTCACTGGTGCTTCAACTATTATCCTTTCAAACAGGTTGTTCACACCTCAGAGCTGTTGTTGAAGCCCTCTACGGATTCTGACACATCATTACATCCATTATGCTTGACTCATTGTTAATCTTTTCTCCATGTAGTCACAACAACTAGACCTTTTTAATTAAAGCTAACATTCCAACAAGCGCTGTATGCCACTTCATTCCAGAAGAGGGTTTTGCCAGGATTTAAATTTAGCTTTTTTTGCCCTACTAATCCGCAGTCTAGAAATGTTTTTTTTTTTAAAAAAAAAAAATCAGGTTAGATGAACAATTTTCCTCTGTATTCTTACAAAGAAATATCTGGATTTGTCAACAAAGATCAAGTCTTCTCCAATTCTTTGCTGGCAAGACTTTTTTTCTCTCTTCAATCATGGTCTCACATTTATTCTAATACAATTCATTACATATTTAGCGGTCTTTTTTTAGCCATATTAATTTGTAACTTTATGATTGAATGAAAAAGCACAAGTGTCTTAATTCCCAAGATTGCTTGAAGTCTATTTTAATACTGCAGCCTGAATTAGATTAGCATGTCTCTGGTTCGGACACATGTGTACTTTGATGGTTTGCTTAAATTTGAGATTTCTAGAGCTTAGCTTGCAGAAAATTGACAGCATTTTGTTCTCTTTCCTATTGTGAAATTGGATTGAGAGCTATACAGTTTCTGGATATTATCTTCTCATGTAACCTGTAGCCGTTTGTCACAAGTCTTCAGCTAGTCTCACACTCAAATATAAAATCAATGCATGGAAACACACGCAGAGACCAAGGTAGTAAGGTCTGCCAGACATGTAGGAGCCCTGCGCTGGTTCATCTGCCTTTACACCTAAAGAGGTCAACGAACACAACACAAACTCCATGAAGCACAAAGTGGTTCTTTGTTAGAGTGGCCCCAACAGCATCTGCACATCAAACATGGACGGGAGAAGCGAGGGCACTGAAACAGAAGTAGAGGAGTAGAAGAGGAGGTGGCAACATCAAAGCATTAATTTTGTAAGGAGCACAGGCTTGTCTTGATATAAGGAGAGAAAGGGAAAGTCAGTTCAGGCCCAAGCCTCTCTCAACTGTTCAGTTATCAGATATTATCTGTAGTGTATGCTTGGAAAATTCAAGAATTCATACTAAGTTATTTCCCAGTAAAACTGCTTTTGAAAAGAAAGTATTATCTGTGAAACACCAACATTATACCTTTAGCATTGTCATTAAGTACTAACCTCTGTAGCATAGATTTTGAAGAGTAACCATGCAATGTACCAGGTAATCAGAAGAAATGCGCCACATAACCAGGCATGGTAAAACAAGGAGAGATCCAATAAGCCAGTTAGACTGTCAAGAGGACGCAATTTACTGCAGATAAATCAACCAAGAAGATATAAGTATTTTTATTATGGAAGATGTTGCTACTCTTACAGCTTACTATAGACAACTGCAAGAATAAAGTTGTTTTGAGGGGCAAAAACAGTTTCTCAAAGATGTTTGAGATACCAGTTCTTTAATTTTTCAGTAACTGTGATAGAATGAAGTTATGAAAAATTAATGAAATTAAGGAAAAGAAATATGAAATAACTAACAATGATTACAGTTTTAGTCAATTAAGGTATTAAAGACTCCAGCTTCCCTATTTTAAAGCAAATGGCAGCCATACAAAAATATATATATGCCTCCTCCAAAACCACAGAAAAGCAGATAAAACATATATGTAATTTGGAGAGATTAGCCTTTCTAACACTTTAGAGGCTTACAGAGATGAAGGAAACAGAGAGGATTTCTTAATGACTATCTACAAGATAGTTCCTACAAGGGGATGTTGGTTCCTTTTGGATCCATTTCAGAAGTACCCAATGCTCCCCACATTCTGTGTGGGGAAGCAAGGAACCGAGTCCCACTGCACACAAAGAGCCAGTTACTAAGCTGTACTTCTTCAGCGAAGGGAGCTGTCAGCAATATTCTCCTGCAAGTTTTCAGCACTATGTACTACCTACCTGTCTATACGAAGATCCATTGTGGTACTTATCCATACCTTTGGCATATAACCTAGGGGATCAAAAAGAAACACTGAAACAAATTTGACACTGCAAAACACATACACAATAAGCCAAAAAGACAACAAAAGTAGAATGCATGTATAGAGACAACAGACTGGTCTGGTAATATGTGTGCACCACAAAACAATCTGCCTTTGGGGTTTGTTTTGTTTGGGTTTTTTTGGTTTTGGTTTTTTTTGTTTGCGTTTTAGGGGGTTTTTATTTGTTTGTTTTTTGTTTTGGTTTGGTTTTTTTGTGGTTTTTGGTTGGTTGGGTTTTTTTGTAAGAAATAGAAACAAGAGAATGAAAAAAGGCTTCAGGCCAGCAACTATACATTGAGAGATGTAGACCTTATCTCTTATTGCTAGCTTCTCAGCACAGAGTTACTTGTGTTTCTTCGCTAACAAGAGGATTAATGGCAATTTAATATTCATTTTCACTACAGCTCAGGCAGCAGCAAAGTGCTTTTAAAGACTTAATGGAAGCTGATATAGAACCACCATACTTCTAATTTATCTCCTAATGTAAATAAAGTGGAAATAATTCTAGTATACTTTGACATCATTTAGGAGGATAATTACAACCACAACTTAAAAAATTCCCGATTTTTAGAAAGTCCAGTGCAATCATCTTCATCAGCACAGATTTTTTTACCAGTTTTAAAGACCAAACTTCATTTTCCTACAAGAGGGAGCCATACTGCCTTTGTCTCCCCAGCTTCCTCCAAATAATATAACACACACTTGAAAATAAAGCTAAAATGCTACTATTTACTTTAAAAATAGTGAAAATATAGCAACATTACATATACTGAGGTCATGCCCACTGCTGGTATGTCAGGTTCACTCTGTGATGCTACATTTCCAATACCAGGCAAAGGAAGTAGAGCTCCAAGGCACGGAGATGTTTATCCATGTTAAGAAAATATTTGGGAATATTTAAAGAAAAAAGGGAACATAAAATTGTTTTAGTCTGTTATTTAATTGCACTGTGTTTTCAGGTTTATAATCTTTTTGCCACAGATCAGGACTGGTATGTAAACCATACCAATGTAAACAATGGCCCAAAGCCATTTTAAAATGTACACTTGTAAACCACCAGCTGATTAGAATTTGGTAGCTCCTCTTACATGCAAGTTATTTCACAGCTGCCCCCAACAAGATTTCCTGCACAGAAGAGATCACCAGAGACAATAGGCTATGTTTTGGTACAGTGACCAAACACAGACTTCAGGTTAGGTAACTGTCGTTCCCCACTCCCTTCTCCTTAGAACACTGTCATTTTCTTACAATGTTATCAGCTAGACAATAAATTGTTATAGAAGGTGTTAATCTCTTTAGAGAAAAGACATTTCTCATATGCTAAACGAGCTTCTGTGAGGCTGTAAGAATTATAAATATTGCTGTACAAACCCTGTGCCTTTTCTTATTGTTTTAGAGAGGTGTTAGATCTCTATTTGTTTAAACAAGTCTACGTGCCCTCAGCAAGTTATACCTGGAAGGCTGAAAAATAGTATAACAGGCCTGATGTATTTTGAAAACTTTATCTTTAATCAAAGAATTTAAAAAAAGAGATATAATTTCATGAACCCTTACCAAAAAAGTAATATGCAACACAGAAGTTTCTAACAAAATATAGTGATTCCACACAACTGTGTTTAATGAGGAGAGGCAAAGATCTTCTGAAACGCAAGTACTTGTATTGCTAGAAACAAACAAAAAAATAGTTTAGTATTCTGCATTCAGAACAAACCAACAAATGGTTAAAAAAAAAAAAAAGACAAGGTACTTGGAAACCTGAAGTCTAGATGAACTAAAAAAAAATTAGTTTAAGCTATTTATTGTCCTGATCTCTTTCTGCCATCTTATAACAATCTCTAGTCCTCATCCCTTTTCCTACTTGTAGCATGAAAATGAAGGATGGGGTAAGTCGACTCTATACACAGGGGAACAAACTAGAAGAATGCTGTCTAGTGCAAAATAAAAAAAAAAAAAAAAGAGGCATATTTAATCCACTAGATTACATTTAGATTAGAAGTGTTCCATAAAAATATAGGGAAAATTCAGACAAGCATGAGTTACAGAGTCAGTAATGTTCCAAGCAGCAAACCAGTGTAATACTGATGCCCTTCTCCATACAAACAAATTATGCGTCTTTCCAAACGACTAAAGCAACCCATCTGACACTATATGGAAATGAAACCAAAGTGATTTTTTACTAGGTTAAGTTGTATTAAAAAAAAAGAAGAATTAACAATATTCAAAATTAGGATTTTTTTTAATAGTAAAACTACAGCATTGCCAAAATGATGCTGGGTTTGCTGATAAACTGAATGGTCACGACTTCAAAGTTTTCCACTAATACAACCAACTTTTTGCAAAATTAGTTGGACTTTGCAAATCTGGGAATCATGCAAAGTTAATGGCTGCTGTGAGCCTATAGCAACAGAAGTATTTTTAAGATGATGTTTCACAAGCCACTCCTCTCCATTTCATAGTGGTACAGATTTCCATAGAACCACTACAGCCCTCTCCAAAGGAATTATTGGAATTTCAGTTTCCATAGCACTACACACACAAACAAGCTTTGGATGTTGAGCTTTAAGCAAGATTTAATGTGCTATTTAGAATTTCAGTGAGCTAGTACCCAGTCACAACTAATAATACGCATTACTCTCAAGATTTTCAGCTTTTAGGTGACCCTTGTTGTCAGTTCCAGGAGTTAATGTTCAGTTTGTGTCTACTGTTTCTTTCCTATAGTTCACTTTCTGCAACGGTCCACCTCCACCAGCTTTTAACACGCATCAGAGGGGTGGAAATTTTATAGTCACAGCATCCCAGATTTCTGTGTTCATTTGAAAGGAGTTGAGCAGGAAGGAGGAAAACGAACACTACCGCTCCACCAGCTTTTCACACGCATCAGAGAGGTAGAAATTTTATAGTCACAGCATCCCAGATGTCTGTGTTCATTTGAAAGGAGCTGAGCAGGAAGGAGGAAAACGAACACTACCGGCATGTAAAGCTAACTGAGTGTATGCCTCATCTGTTAGTGAAAGCATGCCAACAGACAGCTGTTACTGCCATATTCAAAAATATAAACAATCAAGGCTTTTTTGATCACTGTTTTACCTAGACATGTCTTTCTGCAAAGGTGTTTAAACCTCTTACCTGTATGATTGGAAATGGCAAATAATTCATATTGTTAATGAGATACAAAAGACTGTAACTGTATCCCATGAAAGCTCCAGAAAGTAGAAAAAAGAGGTGATACTCATTTAGGCACATCTGAGGAACAGCATCATCGAGGCTACAACAGAAAACTTAGAATTAATTCTGAGTTCAAAAAAAATAAAGTAATTCTAGCCTTAGGAAGTTCAAATCAGAAGTTTGATTTTACTTTCCTGATCAGTATATATGGTGATATCTCAGGAAGTTTTTTTTCTAAATAGGAATCTCACTACCTACTTTTGTAATTTATGCATGAGGATGCTTCCAGAATTTATGAAGTATGTCACATTAACCAGAAGACCAAGACTTAGTTCAAGTGACAACCAATTTGTCATCATTCAAGTTTCCATTAAGAATCCTGGCAATTTAGTTATTCTGGCCCAGTAATTTCTCTATGCATTGTAACATTTAAAAAAGAGGGTATTTTCTATACTTTAATAAAGGATATGAACATATAATTGCTTATTTTTGATAGTACTCAAATTTTATCGTTTTGGTTGAAAGAAGCCATCAGTAAATACATTTTATAACAGAAGTTCTTTGCATAATTTATCTTTAACACACACAAATAATTACCTTTCTGAATGTACACAGGGCACAGCAAGAAACTGGAACTTCCCTTTTGTTATAATTGCAGCGCACCAAGCAACCAACATTCCCATTACAGCATGAACTACTGAGTGGATAACTTGCTGAGGGTGAATAATTTTTCCTATCAGTGCTAATCGAGAGCATGGTATCGATGGCACAACTGTAAATAAAAGCCAAAAGTGAATTTTCATTTCTTACTAATAAAATCCTTCCTTTAAAGAAAAAAAAAAACACAATCAAAACATTGTCACCAAAGAACTTTTCATAGTTGGAATCAGTCACTAAATGATAAAGAAATCAATGAAATGGCTCAGCAAAGAGGGCCTCAGCCATCAGGTAAGAAGGAACCTGGGATGATTTACTTAAAAATACGCTTTATGTATTGTCTACATTAATTTAAAAGGAAATCTATAACATTAAGGACATTGAATGTAAATACAAATCTCTTTAAATGGTCATCCTATTTCATTCAGGTATCACAAACATTTCAGCAATTTACATAACCCACCTGCATAAAATTCAGCATTGAAGATGCTTATTACTACTATCACCACAGACATAAGGAGGATACAGAAGATGACGTAGGAAGTATATAAATCATTGAAAGAACCTAAAATAAAGAAAAATATTGCTCAGAAGATTGCAGTAACACAACAGTGACATGTTAAGTAACAGAAAAGAACACAAGCAGTTAGCCATAATCCACCAAGGACATACGAGGGAGTAATGTTCAATGGACTCTATAATCTCATACCAGATCTACCCAGCTGCACAACGTTTCTGCATAAAAGCATATTTAAATTTCACAGAAACTATTTTACGCCCTTATAACCGGTTTACTCACAAGTGAACACCCAGAATTTTGGGGTTTATTAAAAAAAAAAAAACAACACCTTTCAAAGTGAATTAAACAATGGCTCAACTAACACAGCTTCTCTTCACTTAATAAAAGCTGCAGCCATACAGCCACATTCAAAAGGTATGAAATTCCTTACAGAGTAAATTGCTTTTGATTGGTTCTTTTGGGCTTTTGTATTTTCCAAGAGGGAAAGAAATCAAGCCTTTCTGCCTGGAGCAGCTAAATGATCGCGGGTATCAAGTTTTCACCTAAACATCTCTCAATTTTCGGTGTGCGCACTTGAGGGAAAGTTATTCTCACCACGCAGAGTGGTTGCTTCAGGAATTTCACTTGTGATTCAACGCACCAAAGTTAAAGGAAACTTAAGCCCTTTATGCAAACAGCAGCTGCACAGAGCAGACAGGGGAACCGCGTCCAAGTACTTAGAAGAGACAACTAAGTCACTTAATTTTTTCTCTGAAGGATTTACTTACGTGAGCTTGAAATGGTTATTTCTACCTAGGAAGGATGATGGCTATTACGGTTATAAGCAACACAGAAACTTACATTTCAAAGCTTAAAGACCATTCAGAAACACACAAAGTACAAGTGTAACACAATGCCATAGTCATTTGCCATTATCTGAGACCAAGCCCAAAACAGATAGAGGAAGAAAAAGCCCGCAAGTACAAGCACGTGACTGTAAAAACACAAAAACATCAAAGGGCACCTATTGCAGCAGAAACGATTTTATTTTATAAACGGATTAAAAACATTAATATCGGGTCTCTTTATGTAACAAAGCACTTAAACGATCACAAGCAGATCTGAAAAGTAAACGAAAGCACGTATCCGCGCACTTCTGTGCTCTGCTGACACACGGGCACACGCTTTCTTCTCTTTCGAGAGCCCCTCAGCAGGCGGCTCCCAGGCTG